TAGTAGTAGTAGTAGTAGTAGTAGTAGTAGTAGTAGTAGTAGTAGTAGTAGTAGTAGTAGTAGTACCACTAGTACTAGTACTAGTACAAACACTACCACTACTGGTGAAAGTACTTGTTGGCTGGTTGTTTTCGGGGGGGTCAAATATCAACGATGGGGCTGCAGTTTTTGTTTCCATCCCCTTGTAGAGACAAAGGAAGCAGATATGTTGTAACGGGGCTGCAGTTTTTGTTTGTACCTTCTTGTTGTTGTCGTTGTTGTTGTGGCTGTGGTTGTTTTCCTCAACGGACGTAACTCCAACTCTCAACAGGCCGCGCTGCTTAGCAGCGCCCGAAAGGCACGTATGAGCACGGTCCGTTCTCATCCGTTCGACGGGAAATCAGCGATGTGTGCCACCGCGGACATACGCTGCCAGATGTGGCGCGGCAGCTGTTTGGCACGGTGCAGGGGCCCAGCTTGGCCTGTCCAGGGGACTGGTCTTGGACCGTGGGACTGGGTCAGTCATAGACATGTGACGTCCATACTGGGTATAATAGCTAACTCGTACCACTTTTGTAGATACCCCCTTTGTAGAGCTTGAAGGTGATATATCCAGTGACTCAAGCTTCACAGCCGGAAGGTTTGAAGCTACCAGTGAGTAGCTACTACTTGATGCACTTCTAGCAGTGGCCTGGAAGATCTCAAAAATTTTGGAGATGTGTTTCATCCACTGACTCTTGCACTATGGAATACACTAGTTTGGCTTGGTGGCCATGAATTTCTGTTTTTGGGTCCCTTTGACTCTTCCGAAGCGGAAGGTCTTTAGTTCTATGGGGGTGTCCTTCACAAGCTCCGTTTTGGGGGTCGAGCTTCCTTGAAAGAAAAGATGCAAAGAAAACGCCTGCTTCAGCCCGAGCTGGAGCAGAAAGAGACGGTTGTTCCACCCACAAGGGCGGTCGTATTCCTTGGACCGTTGCGGTCTGACCAGCTGATTTCTGTTCAACGTCAGGCGTTTGGTGAGCTTGGAGGAAAGCCACCAGCAGGAGTGGAGCGGGGAGTTCGGATGGGATGCTTCTTCGACCGAGGAGTTTCGGAAATGGAGCTCTGAAACAACAGTTTTTTCCCGGTATATAGATGTTTTTGTGCGTATTGCCTGGTCAGTAGCTGAGAGTGCGATGGTTTTACTGTAACTATTTATATATATGGTTGTCGATCTAAAGGTCCTAGTCAGCAGTGTGTATGACGATGACCCGGAACATATCAAAATCTCATTTGGCGAAAGTTTTTTCTCGAGTTGGCGAAAGTAATTTTTTTTTGGCGAAAGATCTGGCGAAAGATTAAATATGTACTTTTGTATGAATGTTCATTTGCTTTCTGAACAGCTGGTGGCAGTGACTCAGAAGCTAGATGAGCTGTGGAAGTTAGATAACCTGCTGCTGCTGCTGCGGCTGCTACCACTACCACTACCACTACCACTACGACTACTACTACTACTACTACTACTACTACTACTACTACTACTACTACTACTACTACTACTACTACTACTACTACTACTACTACTTACTACCTACTACTTACTACCTACTACTTACTACCTACT